TCCTTGGGGTGTCACAGCTTTCAGGGCCAGCTAACCTGTTCCAGGAATTTCTTTATTCTCACAGCAACCCAGAGTCAGAAAATGCTACCATTTGTTTCCCTTTTAAGTTGAGAATTCTAGCATGGTCTTGTTGGTATAAAAAGGAATTTTGTTTTTTGTGTCCAGCTGATCACTGTAGTTCTTGAGGAAGAAAGCTATAAGGAAAACTTTCTGAGGCACTGCCATGTATGCATAACTTACAGAGCTGTGCTATGAATTTGTCATTTTGCCTTACATGTAGGCCTCCAAAACCATTCCTAATGTCAGAGAGACCATTATACACCATAAACCGAAAATTTAGGTTCTTCTTAATTAAGTTCCCTTCAGAATTAAAATGAGTCAGTGCATGTTTAGAGTCTCTGTTGAACACAGTATAATAATACTTATTTCAGTATATTAAATTAGAACATGTTTCTGTTCTAAAGATTCTATCTTGGGAAGCATTATCTGAAAGAGCTAACAACATTAAATGTTATAATTACTTGTATTTATGATATAGTTATAAACAATTATAAAGTAAATTATTGTAACTATTTAGAAATAATTGCAAAATAATGATTGTAATAATAACCTTGTAGTTATTTATATTTATTAGATATCATACTATATTTTAATTTACCAGAAATAAACAAACAGAAAATTCAAAATTATGCTGTGCATATTTCAGCTCATATTTCAGAATATGCCAAGTTCAGCTGAAATGTGGACATAGATTTATAGTCTTTGCTCATTATCCCAAGATTTAAGATGAGGTTTTCAGGCAGAGCTTCAGCTGCAAGCAGTTTGGTATTCAGAAATCACTATATTCATCAGCTTCTGTCTCTCTCCTGTATGTGAACTCCATTTAGTTCAGGAAATACTTTTTTTGTTGTTGTTCCTTCCTGTAATTAGTTCCTATTAAAAAGCTCAACTCATCCTTGCCTAACCTCAATTAGACTATCTTTTTTTCTCTTTTGTTCCTTATGCAGAGGCATTAATCTCTTTGACTGGTCTGGACCCTTCCAGCATACATTTTTCATATTAATTATTTTTTTTAATATACTTACTCAGAATTCAAACCAATGATTCTATTCTGGAACAATGATAAAAGCCAGAAAAAGGAAATATATAATCCTGGTTTTGGTTCCGGAATGACATTTCTTTCTCCAAAATACTCTTGCAATTAATTTTCTTTCTAGACATCAGGCTTTCCTCCTTTCTGCTTTTATTTATATAAAGCAATACAGCTATTTCAATAATCTTCTGATGAAGTGATAGTTCTAGGAATGTATTGTAAGAGGAAAATTAGTGGAGCCATTCAGAGCTTGGAATGAGAGGGAGATGAGATGCCTTTTTTCATCTCCCAGCTCAGAAAATCCTATCTCCAACCTTTTTTTTTTAATTTGTGATTCAGTAAACCTTGATTGATTCACTGGCACATTTTGAGCTGATTTAATTTGAAATGTTAATTACTGGAAATGTTAGAACACTTTAGAGTTAAAAAGGGCCTGAATGATGGCATAACTGAAAGTCATAAAATAAGAAATTCCACATCAACAGAAGAAATTAGATCTTATTCTAATTTCACATCTTTTAAATTGTAGTTATCGAAGCAAGAAAAAGTGTGACTGGAGATACTTTTAGTTGTAATGGAGGGAATGGGGACTATTCAGTTTCACTATTTCACTCTAAGAATCAAAAAGTCTCATCTCCCATGTACATTGCCTCCTACCTGTTCAGCCTTGGAAGAGATTTCACTTTGGATGGCCTTACTCCAGTTTTGGGTTGCATGCATATATCCCAGTTAGATATTTGTACCAAGTGCTTTAGTTTTTCTATATAAATTCACAGAACCAATTAGGTTAGACAAGACTTCTGAGATCTTTGAGTCCAACCTGTGATCCAGCACCACCACGTCAGCTAAACCATGGCACGGAGTGCCACATCCAGTCTTTCCTCAAACACCTCTGGGGAGGGCGACTTCCCACCTTCCTGGGCAGCCAATTCTAACATCTAAATGCCCTTTCTGTAAAGAAATTCTTCCTAACCTCCCCTGGTATACCTTAAGACTATGTTCTTGTATCCTGTTGCTGGCTGCCTTGGAGAAGAGGCTGAACCCCACAACTGTCCTTTTAGGGAGTTATAAAAAGCAATAAAATTTCCCCCAAGACTCCTTTTCTACAGGATAAACAACCCCAGCTCCCTCAGAGAGTCATCAGATTTGTACTCTGGGCCCTTCACCAGCTTTGTTGCACTTCTCTGGATACACCCCAGCACCTTAAAGTCCTTCCTGAACTGAGAGGCTCAGAACTGGATGCAGGACTTGAGGTGTGGCCTGACAATCACTGCCCTGCTCCTGCTGGTCACACTATTCCTGATACAGGCCAGGATGCCATTGACCTTCTTGGCCATGTGGGCACACTGCTGGCTCATGTTCAGAAGCTGACAACCAGAGCTTCACGGTCCTTCTCCACCAGGCCGGTGTCCAGCCACTCCGTCCCCAGCCTGTGGCACTGCAAGGGTTGTTGTGGCCAAAGTGCAGGACCTGGCACTTGGACTTGTTAAACCTCATATTGAATTCTGCCCATCTATCCAGCCTGTCCAGGTCCTTCTGCAGAGCCCTCCTACCCTCCAGCAGATTGACACTTGCACCCAATTCACTGTTGTCCATGAATTTGCTGATTCGATCCCTTCATCCAGATCATCAGTGAAGATATTAAACAGGACTGGCCCCAGCACCGATCCCTGCTGGACCCCACTAATGACTGGATACCAACTGGATGCAGCACCACCACTCTCTGGGTCTTGCCAACCAGACAGTTCTTAACTCAGTGAAGAGTTCTCCTGTCCAAGATGTGCGCTGCCAGCTTTTGCAGGAGTATGCCGTGGAAGATGATGCCAAAATGATTATTCCTTTTATATATATATACATATATATATATATTGTTCATATATATTTATAGCTCTGTAGACCGTTATTATATAATTGTACAGTTACTTAACTTCAGTACTTTTCCTATTAGACAAAAAAAAATCCCAAGGGCCTGTTCTAATCTCACTTCTTATAGGAATGAAGATCAAGAAACCTTCCCAAGACACTTTCCCATTAACAACTACCAAGGAAGGTGGGCTTTATAAAGGGTGTGAACCAAGAGGGGGAATTCATCACCTGTGTTTCTAATTGGGGACTCTTGTCAATTTACGATTAAACGATTTCTTATAAAACTCTACGTGCCCTATATCATGTGTGCATCTTTGGTGCATTTTTGGTGTGCATTTCAGTGTGTTGTGCATCTGGAGGGTTCTTCATTAAAATCATAACCACATTTTATCACCTAACCTTGTGTGGCTCTTGATTTTAGGGCTCAAAAAACAACAGAGATTGTGGCAAAGGTGATTGCCACCAGTATATATTGATATATATTTAAAGGTTTAGTTGAACAAAAGACTTTATTCTTCAATATATGTACTAGATGTCTTGACATTTGGGAGTTTTATTCCTTTTTAAATTACTGAGTTTTTGTTAACTGTGAAGGATGAGTAAAAACAACTGGTCAACTATTTGCATCAACAGGTACAGCAATGCTTGTTTTAGTTTGAAGGCCAGCAAGGGTCCTTTGGCTAAATTACAGGTGAGTAACTTTTCAGGGAAAAGAAGTGACTAAATGTTGAAGTGAAATATTGAGGATGTAATTTTAGTTCTTCCCAAAGTGTACGTTTAAAGCAAACTTGTTGCTGATGGCTGCATTCCATGTGTGGGTTTGTGCTCCAGAGCAGCCCGAGTGTGCACAACCCAAGGTTCTTGTGGATGAAACCCCTCAGGTGATGCATTGCTGTCCAGCCACTTTGGGCAAGTGCAATGGAGAAAAGAATGGGAAGACTTTTCCTGCCTTCAGCAGTATTTTGACCACTTCAGACCACATATATCATCATCTAAGGGCCAAGCCTAAAATCATCATAACTAAATTGTATGTGATGAGGCCTTCAAGTACATTTTGAAACACATCTTAATTTTTACAAGCCATGAGCACCTAGACAATCCCTTTGCCTTGAAATTAAAGTCAGACCATTAATTTTCCCTTTTTGTAAATAGTACTGTGCAAAACTGGGATACAGATATTGAAAGCAGAGTCATTGAGGGTTTTAGACAGTGCCATGGTCAAGGCTATATTCATCACGTTAGTTTAAGTGGGAAGTGACCAGTAACTAGTAGTAGATGGGGGGAAACTGCTCACAGACTAGGAATAGAGGGGGACAGTCAGAATTTTGGAAGGAGTTGTACACTGGGATGGGATCTGGCCTTTGATGTAAGCGCCACCTGTGTAAATTGCAAAGGACCTGCAGTGTTAGTGTTGGCTTTTCTGTTTGTTCTCAGATTTACTTATACTGCCTTTGTTTGATACAGAGAGGTCAGACCAGCACTTTCCTACATTTCAGTTGTGCTGAAGTGATTTATAGCAGCTCTCCATAGTTTGTGTTTTGATAAGGTAGGAAAAACATTTGTCAGGTGCCCTGCAAAATCAGGTATTTCTAGGCAGTTTTGGTTCATGTTTATTTTGCACAAACTATCTTTTTAACAAACACTTTTTAAATTAGTGTTTATTATTTTAAAGTCCAAGTATACAGTCCTATAGTGGATGTATCTCAAAGATGTAACTAATCAAACATGTAACTGTATTGTACACTGAGGAAATTATTTTAGTGGTTAAAAAGTGATTTTTCTTTTTTTAATGTCAATTGTTGAGCACTATGAATTATGAATTTAGGCTTTAAATATTTATTCTGTTAACTGATTAAAATTATTTATTATTCTGCTCTTAGACTTTTTGCTTTCAACAGAAAACTAAAGACAAAAGTATGTTTCAATTGTACACATTCTGTACAATTATGGAAAAAAAAGGTTGGCATTGCTCTGGTGGCTTAAAGAAAATATATTTGAGATATTTGATTAAATGACAGAGAGAAAAAATAGCACATCAGAATTTTTGCAGTTAGGATGAAGAATTTATTGTATGTACAGTTAAGCAACTCTACTGTAGATGTAGTTCCTCTTTAAAGAAAACTAATACAGTAATCAAAATAGTTCTAGCATGGAAATTACAATACAGACTGAAACTTGACTAAACCAGAAATTAGTTATTTGACTTGAAAGAACACAGAACCTGAAACAACAAATCGCAGTTTTCATCATTAACCAAGGACAGTAAAAAACTGTACAGTACAAGCAACACGTTACAATAAGTTATGACAAATAAGGCAGTCTTTCTCATTTAGGACAAAAGGGAAAAAGGGAAAGGTATTAAAATCTCATAAAACCACCATATCTCTTTTCCATCTCTGGGACTTCTTTGGAATAAGTTTCCCCATCTTCTTCTGAAGGGAGAATGGAGTCGGCAAAGCGCTTAAGGAACCCACCATATCGTTTCTGGTAATCCAGCCACCACTCTGGCCTGCCCACTCTTCTCATGAAGCCACCATATCTCTTTTGCAGCTCTTTGGCCTCATCTTCCAATTCAGGGCTGCGCTTTATGCTTCTCATGAAGCCTCCGTATCTTTTGCTGACATCGCCGTCATTTTCATTTATCTCTCGGTAGTGCGCCGCTTCAGGGTTGTCCCCTGTTCCCAGAAGCTCCTTCAGCAGATCAGAGGAGTTGGCAAGGGCATCGTCATCTGAGTCTTTCTTCATAAACCCTCCATACCTCTTAGCCAGGATTTCTCCTCCATTAGCTTCATCCTCTGGTTCTGCCCTATAGAGCTCATCCATTTTCTTCATGAAACCCCCATATCTTTTCATGAAGCCTCCGTATTTCTTTGCAAGCAAATGGTTCTCATCCACCTCTTTCTTGTCTCCTGGAGCAATGTTGCCATCCTCAGAAAGATCCAGCTTTGCCAGCTGCAAGAGCTCCTTGCAGGTCTCCCAGGCTTTGGCAGAAGGCAGTTTCCCTTCACATTCTAGTGTACATGCCTGAAAAATGGATATGGTTTACTGAGAATTATTTGATAGCAACTATCACCTAGGTATGACCTTATCTTAGATTTACTTTTTTATAAAAGAGCATGAGCGAGCCTCTCTTTGTGAGTGGCTTGGAAGAAATGCTCTTTGGGACCAGTTGGTTTGGTACCCATCTGTTTTGAAGTTCTTCATATCCCTCTCTGAAGGACAAGGTAGTCTCCACTATAAGAGACAAACCACCACATAATATGAATTGTGGGTCCTCTATGTCAAGGTTGCCACTATGTTTCTGTTTCAAAGGAAGCCACAAGTACAGTTCCTGTATCTCCCTTACACTTGTGTGAATTATGATCTATTTTTTTTTAATTTACTACTGGGAAGCTAAAAAACAATTGTGGCTTGCTTCATAATGCAAGTGTAGAAACTTATTCAATCTTCATAATTAAAAGTATCATACAGAAATTTTAGAAAAGCTGCACAGCATGGTCATTGCAAAGAAGCCAGCTGTTCCATACTGCAGTGTTCAGTATCTTCAATACCCTGCTTTAAAGGCTGTGTGTTGCCATTTGTTTCTCTTTGTGGAACAGATCATTCCAATGTGTACTAAAAGAAACGTAGAAATACAGGCTCTCTTAGGGAAGGATCAAAGTTCCATTTTAGCTGGAAAGCAGGAACCATCAAAGAGAGGGAAAAAATCCTAAACTGTGTTGTTTCTGACTGTATTGAAAAATTTTCAAGCTACAACATGAAAAAAGCTTTCAGTACTTTATGCATATCTCATAGCCTGTCTTCTGATGATAATAACATGGATATTAGCTACTATTATCTTTCTTGTGTCAGGGAAATTCTTGTGCAGCCATACCCTTCAGTTGAAAAATAAGGTGATTCCAGTCTTTTTTCTTCTTGCCTGTGGTTTTCATACCACAACAGGTAAAGAAAAATCATCACTATTTTCAATAAGAGAAGCACTCATTCCGACTATAGACGATCTGTTCTAAGAATCCTAACATACTTTAAAATCTGAAATTTAACTCCAGCACAGCCCTCTCTGATAGCTTATTGTCCACTGCACAATCTGTCTCTTCAGACTCACTTTACTCTAAGAAATTTAAATATGATTTTTTGGCATGATCACAAGAAAATTAAAGGGATTTATATATTTTGTAACACAATAATTTAACTAGCACTACAAGTTAGTTATTAGTATATATTATAGTCATGCTGCAAAGAGATTAAGACTTCAGCTTTAGTCTGACTTTGTAATTGCTCTAAATCAAAGCAAGAATAAGTCTCTCCCTTTCTCAGTTAGTTTTAATAACCTCTTATTGTCAAATGAACATACTTCATAAGTGTGAGTTGTCACCAGGTACAGTATGGAATGTCTCGTATCTAACAAATACAATGCAATAAATTCAATAATGTTCCTAGATACTAATACCTAGAAACAACAGTTTCCAAGAATTGTTCATACATGTTTGACAAATACAAGGTATGCTACATTGCTTCTTTACCTATTTAGTTAATAAACATTCTTACAAAATAGGACTTCGATTATTTCTTTAATGATTACTGAAGGTGTGGAAGACAGACTGTCAAAGTAGACATGCAGAACATGTACTCTGAAAAGCTCTCCCTCCATAACAGCAAACTACCACTTTTTTTACCCTAGCTGGCACTAAAGCTAAACTTTGATGGAAAGCTAATGTAAGCAGAGAGGAAAAAAAAAAAAAAAAAAAGTAGAGGGAACTGTTTGGCCAGCTGTCCAAATAATATTGCCCTTCTGAGCCTGCTATGGCTAAGAGCTCTTGAGCTTTTGTAGTAAGTAGAAATACCCGCTGGTTCCTAATTCTGTGTAAGGCTAGAGAGCTGAGTCCTTCCTTTTGCATGAGGAACATGACATGAGAGGAACAAATTTTTAAGATCATTTAGATGTGCCGAGAGCATGATGCCTCAAAGTATGTGCGTTTGAGGTCAGGAGCAACCGATGCCAAAGTACTTGGCAGCTAGAGATCTCACCTTCTTCAGGAAGGGCTGGGGGATCCCAGACTTTCACTGACCCCCGATCTTTAAATTTCAAGTTGAATTGCTTCTGTGACTATTCTTTTAAATTATTTCAACATCATAAAAATTACAGATAACCCCCACCCTCCTGTCCCCCTCATTCCGGACTTAGCACGATTTGTCACCGTCTTCCACAGGCATATTCCTAACGCTGTGCAGCACCGTGCAGGGAGGAGAAACAGCCAAGGTACTGCTACTCAAATAGGCTTTCAACCCACTTTTTAGTGAGATCTCAGGCAGATCTTTTCAGCTCGACACCCATCCTGCCCGGAGAGAGCTCATCGTACCATGGAGCCAGCGGACAAGGGTCGGGACCCTCCCTCCCGTTCCGCTCGGCTTCCCCCTGTCCTGTCGGTGCTGGAATGCCCGGCAGCGACCCCTCCTTCCCTTGCAGAGATGCCCTCTCCGGTCGGATTTCCCTTCCTCCTTGCGTTTTCATTCGGCCTTTTCCTGGCTCCCCGCGGGGCTGCTCGGCGGTGTCGTTTGTCCCCGTCCCCGAAGGTCGCCGCTCCGGGCAGCGGAGGGACGGGCGGGCTGGGGGCGCTCCTCGGGGCGCTCTGGGTTTGTATCAGCGCTCTCTGCCCGCTCCTCGCCCTCTGCCCAGCGCCCCCGAGCCTGCTTCTCCCTCTCTCCCCTCTTTAGAATAAGGGTCTTCCAAGCGACCCCGGTGGCTTCCCTCACTATTTATTTTTCTTATTTCGCTGTTTTTCCCCGCTCCCCCTTTCCTCCCTTCAAAGTTAGCGGGGAAGCGGCCCGGCCGCGGGGATTCCGGGGCTCTGAGGCTTTCCCGGCCCCGGTGCCGCTTACCAGGGGGTGGATGCCGGCGCGGGGTCCCAGGTGGTAGGCGCAGGCGGCGCAGTCGCGGCCGCAGTCGGCCCGCACCCTCGGGAGCAGGCAGGTGCTGAGGGCCAGCAGCGAGCAGCCGAGTCTCAGGAGCAACGCCATGGGGCTGCAAGAAGGACAGGTCAGCCGGCAGCCGCCTCCTCTCGCTCCCACCCCCAGCTCGGAGAAGGAAATGCGGCGTGAAAGGGTTCAAACCAACTCCGCTAAACTCACGCTTTTTAGATTGCGCTTGCGAGGTAAGCGGGAGCTTTAAGTAAGCAGACGCTTGGCAGATGCAAGGCAACTGACCTGCGTTCGGAACGGGAGCGGACCGTTTGGTGACAGTCTTCGTCCCCAAACACTTTTATCCCTCCCTGCCTGCAAAAGCCGGCACCACTGGGGCAGAAGGGACGCACCGCGGAGCGGCACGGACGGGATCCCGGTCCCTCCCGGGGAAGGGTTTCCCACCGGGACGCCCCGCGCAGCCTCCCCGACCCCGAGCACCAACCCCGGCAGAGCCGCCCCGGCCCTCCCTCGGTCCCGACCGCGGGCAGAGCAGCTCCCTCACTCACACACACGCTGCCCTCGGGGCTCCCGGGAGTTGCCGAGAAAGAAGCTGCGCCTTGCCGAAGCCTCGGCGTCGGAGCCACTAATATTTATAGGGAGAGGGAGCAGCCTCCGGAGAAGCCCGGGGTAGGCAGGCACAGGCGGGCCCGCTGGCAGCTCCAGCGAGGGCGGCTCGGGGGGCGCCGAGCCGAGCCCGCTGCCGGGGCCGGGCGCGCCGCTGCGGAGCGTGTGCGGGCGGCGGCAGCGGCACTTTATAATTCGTGACCGCGGGGAGAAGGCGGCCTCCCCCAATCGCCGCCGGGCTCCCGCTGACGCGGCGACTACGACATCCCCCCCGGCACCACCGCCCCGCCGTCCGTGACTCCAGCGGGGCTTGGGATGAGGGGGTGTGTGTGCCCCTGCCATCGGGGAGGGGGGAGCGGGGAACCGGCCCCGGGAAAGTTACCGGGGGAAGTTTTCAGCGGGGGCGGGCGGGGAATGAGACAGCGCGTGAGTCATGCGGGGGTGGGCTTGAGGGACGGGGAAAGGCGCCCCGAGCCCGACGGCAGCCCCTCGGAGGTAACCCCACTCCCCGGGGCAACGGAGACAGGTTCCCGAAAGAGCCTCGCACAACGCGGAGAGTGGGACTGGATTTGGGAATTTTTGGTATAGGGTCGTTTTTTGTTGAGTTTTTGTTTTGTTTTGTTTTGTTTTGTTTGTTTTTAATTCTTTTTTCCTTCTTTGTTTCCTGCCTCTCTGCTACTCCGCCAAACCCCCAAACTGCTGGTGCTGCGAGTTCTTGCTGACTCTCTCCTGAGCCTCAGGTGTAAAACAGTTTGGGGGAAGCAGATTGTATTAGACCAAGGAAGAAGACAAGGGTTTCAATTTGAAACTATTGGAATTCACAAGTATGGGTAGATTTGCATTGTTGTCACAATTTTGTGCTCAGGAACACACAAATAGGAATGAACCAGAGACAAGCAAACCTCCAAGCACTTCTACAAGGTTCTCAAGCACAGCAGCTTGGGCTGCTCACTGTTGTGCTCTGACTGACATCTTGGGGAACAGGCATAAAGCAGTGACACTGATCCCTGACACCTCTTGTTTGTAGAGGGCTCTGCCCCCACCATGCTCAGCTGCATTTTTTTGACTGTCAGATGCCAGCTTCTACCTCCAGCCCCAAATTATTTCTAGCTGGCCTATATTAACTTGATTTTCTCTCAGCATTATTCCTCAGTCAAAAGAGCATTTTCCCTCATGCTAGTGTGTTGCTGGAGTGGGATTATTCTCTGTAGTCCTCATTTTGCTGAAGTGAACAAGCTGTGCTCTTCATCAGTCTGTCCTAAGATGTCATGTGAATGTTCTGCTCTGCATTTGCTTTGGTTGGAGTTCATAATTTCTGTGCATGAGTGATGGGAACAGAACACAGTATGTCAGTTGAAATTTCATTAGGACAATAATGCGTAATTAAGTTCCCTGGAGGAAGAAGACACCTCAATTTATACCTCCCCAGGTCTCATTTGCCTTTCCTGATGCTGCAGTACATTGATGTCACACACTCACTGGGATACAGCCAGATCTTTATCCTTTAGAAGTAAGAGGAAATCCAGTACTATTACTGTATGGAAACTGTGATTTTTTACTGCCTTGTCTTTACATTAGCTATCAGACTCAGGTTAAAGATGCTCAAATGAATGTGTGGATTTTCAGAAATACATCCATTCAAGCCAAAGGCATTGCTCTTGCTTATAATCAGTGTATGTGAGAAGAGAATCAGGCTCTCTGTTGATGCAGTAATATCAGCCAACTTTGTTAGTGAACCCTCAAGAGAAGAGGTAGACATTTTAAAAATCATCCCAGTGGGTATATTTATGTTAGCATGTGAGTGATCTACATTTGGAACAATGAACAAATTGCTATGCCACTGAATCAGCAGGATTGCTTTCAAGTTTGTTCCTGAGTTGGTTAGGGAAGCACTGACTAACTCTAGAAGTGACACATTTGATGTCTCCTTTGCTGTAAAGTTGCTCAGTACAAGCAGAGCTTTTTGTGATGGACATCATCAGAGTAGTCCTCTGGGTCACTTACTGACTCTCAGCTGTGCCATCATTTATTGGCTTGCTCTCTAATAGTCAGTGTGGTGTGACAGGACAGACAGCCCAGTAGTGTCATGATTGTTCCTCCAGCAGCGTACATGCCATATCCCTGGGCTGAGAGGCTGCTGCTTTCATCATTCTGCACAAGAGCATCTGTGCTCAGCCAGCTCACTCTGCATCTCAGCCTGCCATAGCCTTCACTACTCTGTTTAATGTCACTCATTGTGCTGCATCTGTTCATGATGAAAACCAGCCAGTGTTAGAATCTCACTGTGTACAGGGGTGCAGATAATCCCCGTGGGTAAAATACAGATTATAGCAGGAAAAGATAAAGAATGAAGTAAGAGTAAAGCATATAAAAGGATCAAATAAAAGGCTTCTAAAGTCTGTGTAGAAGTGAACTAGCGAAGAGGGTTATTTTACTGTGCATAAGTCTTTTGGCTGACGGTGGAAAACAGGGAAAAGGTGGGAAGAGATCTAGCGTGAAATGCACATCTGCAAGGACATTTTTGGCAAGTGAGAGAGAGAGAGCAGAGGTATCTGTGTACAGCCAGCACTGGGCAGAAGAAATCCAGCTGTGGCTGTTGCAAGTACTACAGGTATCCCTGACTGGTTCATCGGCTTCTTCCTATCTGTCATTTGCATCTTTAGCTGGTTCTTCTCTATCACTGGTCCTCATCCTACATCCTTATGGAGGTTGCAAAGGGGTCCTCAAGGCCTGGCAGAGTGGAGAGTGGGATGAAGGTCCCAGCTGGACTCTTGTTTTACCCTTTCCTACAGTGCCTGCTACACAGAGTCCTTTCCTTCCTCCTGAAAGATGCTAATATTCACAGAGGATGTGATACAAGAAAGGAGTGATGTAGAGGATATTTCTTGAAGGGCTCACTTTTCCCAGTGTCAGCAGATGAAAGCTCTGTGATTCCCTGTCTGAGTTCAGTTTTGTACAGGGAAAGTGCCCAAAGAGGATGAAACAAAAAGAGAATTTAGCAAATTTTGCCAAAATACTACAGAGCAAAACCTACATAAGGAAAATTACTGTAGGCATGGAGGGTAATTTTTCCTCTGCAATGGTGAACTGAGAAACAAAGAAATAAGGAGGCAGAAAGAGAAAGAGAACACTTTTCACAGCAGTAAAGACAATATCTTGTTGTTTCCTACTAATGTTATAATAAAAATGTCCTGGTATTGATAAAAACTTTAGCATTTGTATAATCCAGAATTACCACAGACACCAACTGCTTTTTATCTGCCATCAAAATATACCAACCAAAACAAAACTGTTTTTACAACAGTAGTGCTTGTAGTGCCAAGGGCCTTGTTGCCCTACAGTTTGTCTAACTCCCAAACTTAAGGTAGAATAAGGTGAAACCCAGGTGAAATCGTCTTCATTTTACTGATCAAGAATTCATCTGAGTGAATTTCTGAACTGTAGCAAAAAATGAGCAGCTAAGTTAGAAATGGATTCTCTCTTAGAATTCACATTGGTATCTGTTCTGCAGAACCAGCTTTCTTTTCCAAACTATACTCATCATGCTAATCAAGATGCTACAAAGTCATTAAATGAAGATGAATTAATATAAATATGAAATAAACATGCCTTTAGCACCTCAAGCAATCCTCCTCACAACACAGAGCCTTTTTGAAAGAATTGAAGAGTAAGGAATGTAGAGAAGCATGTTGATTATTTTCTTCAGCTCAATGTAAAAGGTCACAGTATTTCTTAAGATCAAACAGTCGGGTTCCATTTAGCTCAGCCTAAACTGCCTTAATTTTTATTGGGAAAATACATAACTGGTATCAGAGCCAAGAAAGACATTGCAGGTCAACTCTCTTATACCAAATATAACCTAAGTCATTAAAAGACATGAGTTATTAATCTGTATATACAAGACATGCATTGTTACTTTTAAAATATCTTTATTAAATTATATCTAATGTAAGCAGAGAGGAGCTGTAATGCAGAGAGGTAGTCAAAGCCAATTACAGTTGGTATGCATTGCCTAAAATGTACCTTTACAGGACAGAGATGCTCCCAGTCCTTCCCAGATATCTGTACATTCCTTAATAAATGTCTAGGTGTATCATTTAAGATATGAAAAAATAAGATCTCAATGGTGCAGACATTCCTGCTCAGAGCTGCTGAAGGCAATCTTGTATGAAGAACTGGAATGCTAAACTTTGGGTCTCGGATGAAGCTGGCTCTTATTAATAATATTTTTGCCTTTGAACAATTTACACCTCTTCTAGAAGGCAAAACTGTGAACAGGTCAGGTGGCAGCAAGGCGATATTTTCACGGAAAGAGCACTGACTGCTGCTTTCCCTGCCTAGTGGTTGATACCCTGTAGCTTCGTAAGGGGAGAGGAGGCTTCATGCTACTTTGTCTGAGTGAAATAAAGAGTGTGACGTGCATTCAGTATAAGCACACAGCAAGTGCAATTATTAGTGTGTTTATTTACTGGAATTGTATCAGACAAAGTAACAATGAAGCAAAGAATTTCATACTATTCTATAGAAACACACGGAGATTCACTTTGTTACATTCTTCTGTGTTTCTCAGAGACAGATGATTTCTGAGATCAGGCCTGAACTGAACTGCAGTAAATAGAATGTGCTGCAGAGGGAATAAAATAAACTGTAAACCCACCCCCCACCCCCCACTCCCCCAAAACGTATTTGTTATGAAAGCATTGTTTTTCTCATTTACACAGAGGCCATGGGAGAAATATTTCCAATAAAATAAGAAGAAAACAGGGTGCTCCGTAGCAGACTAAATTGTGATGGAACACAGACACAGTGATTATTATTTAAGACAATAACTACTCCATATAAGTGGAGCCATTTATCCTAATTTTTTCAATTAAGAAAACTCGTCCATGAATTACAAAGGAAGTATTAGACTCCGTCTATGAAAAGGATTTCACTGTCTAATGCATATGTGGAAGGATTAGCTGAAAATTGTAAATGAGAGGCTTTGATCACTTCACTCATACTAAGGAAAGCAAACAATCAGAATCTAAATAATGTATTTGGAGGGTGAGTTTCAATTATTTTCTCATTATTCACATTGAGGCAGCAGAATTTTGGAGCTTTTTCTCCAGTTCCAGCCTTACTTTTTCACTGCAAGTATTTTATTGC